CATCTTGGGCCGCTGTGGGGCTCTCTGAGGGCCATCTTGGACCCGTGTTGTGCCGTTTTGGGGCTCCTTTGAACTGCCTGGAAGCCCTTTCAGATGTTTGTGGGGCGATTTTGGAGCCTCCCAGGCGGCTTCGGACGCCCAGAAGACCGCCGTCTTGGAGCGTCGGGAAGCCTAAAAGAGGAGAACCCCCAAATTCACCAAAAACCAACAGAGAATTCATGATTTTGGCCTCTAGGGGCCTTCTTGGGAGTGCTCTTGGAGGCCTCTTTGGGGCCGTCCTGGAGGCCTCTTGGGCCATCTTGAGGTCACGTCGGTCACTCTTGGAGCGCTCTTGTGCTGTCTTGGGGGTCTCTGGGACGTCTCCGATGACCCCCCTGATCGCCCCGGTGGTGCTGCGAAGGCTTGTCAAAACGCCCTGCGAGGCCCGGGGGGCCGCTTCGAGGCCCGTCCGGAGGGTTCCAAAGCCCCAGATCGCGGGAGTCCGGTTTTGGGGGGTGTGTGTGTGATGGGTTTTCCCCCCGCCTGGGCTTATAAGAATATAGGGAGAGGAATACACGGGACATCCACGACCTGATGATGTCCCCCGTCTAGGCCAACGTCCGCGAGGCCAGGCACAATATCTGCGTTCACAGACGTAACGAGCACATCAGCACCTTCACCGACGACTACGAAGTACTACTGGACTTGATGGGATTTGTGCCGCGTGCGAGTACGATACGCCATGGCAGGCATGGCAGACAGCCAGCTTGCAAGACGCGAGCGATCACGCCCATCAGGACGTGATCCCGTCCAAACGCCGACCCAGAACAGAAGCGTCATCGTCTACCCAATGCCATCGGACCACCATGCAGCCGATCTGCCATCGCCGAAATGCCCACCGCCACCTGTATTACCACCCGACCATAGGACATGGACCGTCCACGAGCTGCCATGAAGCTACAAGAGTTGGGCATGGGTAGCGGGTTGCCCTTCCATCCCAATCGCCGGCTTCCGAGCCTTCACCTGTGGACTGTGTGCAATGCGGACAACCCGAGCCACTGTTGCAGCCAAGTCTCTTATACTTCAGCGCCGAGAGCCGCCGATCCGAGTGAGGGTGCCCTAGCAACTGCCTCTTCATGAGCGGATGGAAGAGAGGCGTCGCGGCCAACGACGAGGAGGTTGATTGCGACAGCAATGGCCAAGGCAACATGGTGAGGATCTCCCCGATGGCCACGCAAGGACAGCGGCATCCGCCGCCGCCTCCGAAGCCAAGGGCGCCGCCACCGCGGTCTTAGTCTGTCCACGTGGACATTTCATGGATCGACAAGCGCGCTGCAGACAGCAGGATGGACATAATAATCACAACAATGACGCGATCAATGACAGCGTCGCCGACGTGAGCTTCCAGCAACTGGGGGACTGCCCGATTGGGACATGGCTGGGCGTAATCAACATCGATGACCACCTCAAGAGCCGGAGCGACGACATGATGACTTCAGATGGAGTCGCCGGGGTGGTCGCCGAGTGCCAGGCGGCGAGCCCGCCAGAGGCCCGCATGCCGACTCGCGCGAAAACGCCCGACCAGGCCCCGACCCCCCCGATCCTTCATGACCCCCTGACGATACTGCAAACATTAGCAAGCCGACCACGACAAGGTCCAACGAGACATCCGCGATTTCACCAACCTCATCGCAGAAGGACCACCACCCTCAGTGAAACGTACCAGCGCCCGCAACGACAACGTCCAGTCACTCGAGACCCCTCCCGACCGCGACTCGCCAGCCGACGCACTTACCGCCGATGGAGGCCGCGGGGAGGCCCCGCCGCCCACTCACGCGTTGGACCAACCTGCAGAGGTCCCAGCCCAGCCACCAGCGACGCAAAGAAAGGCGACGCCACCATGCGAGGTCACACGGCCCTAGGCGGGCGAAGTCAACCTGATCCCCGACGGCGGGGCTCAGCGCGGGAGGGGGGTGACTGGGCCAGACTGCCGAGCGCCGACAGGCGGTCCCTGGCAGGGCGCCGCCGAAACCCATTCCACCGAGTCGCGACGGGAGCATCCCGGCCAGCAGCGCGGGCGCCTCGCCGCTGGGCGAGACCCTCGACGAGCCGACGCCAGCCGTGCGAGCTGCGGGGCCACCGACGCCGACGGGCATGGCCACTGCGTGCGAGGGGCACCCGTGCTTGTAGGCCTCTAATTGAGCTGCAGCGCGACGTCATTGGGCGCTTGACAAGCACTGTCAGGAGCGTCCAGTATGACCACGACGCGCCATTGTTCAACTGGCGCGTCCGCAAGCTCATCAGGGAGGCCATCGACCAGGTGATGACCTACTTCTCTGGGTCGCTGGAGAGGCTGCCAACCGTCCCGCCAGCCACTTCGGGGGCTTGGCCATGACGGACAAACAGTGAGGCCTAGTGCGCTTCATAATCAACCAGCTCTGCAGCATCGCCTCGTGCCCAGTGGCCATGGATCGCATTGGCCTGCCGAGCCCGCGCTGCGCCGAGATGGGGCGGGGGGATCTTCGCCAGCAGGCATTCCGACGCCGTTCGCGACGCCGGCGCGCCAGAGTGGCATCGCCATCTATCTGATCGAGAAGTTGAACGACGTGACCAACCGCCAGGACGCGACGCCGGCGGCAGACCCAAAGGCCTAGTCGACCAAGCCGGACCCAGACGACACGAGCGACCCGCCTGACCGCGGACGGGCGCCCAGAGACACCGACGCACCAGGAACCGATGCAACCGGCACCGCGCCCCAGCAGGGGACGGGCCACAACCGAGACGAGCCCCGCCGCCGAGGCTCCCGGCCAGAGCAGGCCGACCTTTCCATCAGAGGAATGCACCTCTCGATGAGCATTGGGCCGGCCAGCAAGCGCCTCCGCGACATTCCACGGGCGCAGTGCGCCCTCGAAGCATCGCCGGTGGAAGGCGTCTTTCCGCCGCGCGCGCCGTCGAGCCACGTCGTCATCGTCGACGGCAGCGACCTTGATGGCGATGGGGGCTGTCTACGGCACCAAGCCCCCCGCCGCTCGATCCGACAGCCAAGCCGTCGCGGGCATCACCGAGGAGGAGTATTGCCCTGGTTGTGACATCGTGGATTGCGCCAGGAAGAAGCACGACGCCACAGCAACAGCAACAGGCAGCGAGATCCGCGCGAGCCTTCCGTGCGCCCGGCGACTCGACGACGAGGGCGCTGCCGACCAAGCGGAAGGTCCGCGCTTGGCTTGTCCCGCGCCGGCCCACCCCCGCTTGGCCCATCGATTTATTTTTCCTGAGAGGTCGGGCACTTCGCCCTGATCTCTCGCGGCGACGGCAGACGAGTCGTACGCCGCCTCGGGCGTCAAGGCGGGGCCTGACAGAGGGGGCCCGTCGGTGCGTCATTCCCCCAACCTAGCTTGCCGATGTTGCTCCGGCGACAGCAGTGGATCAAGCTCTCCTACGACGAAGATGGACTCTGCTAGCAACTCCTTTCCCATCTCCGACCTCGGCGCCACCCTTGCGCCGCGCCGCCGCGATCATTGTTTTCCAGGCAGCAGCGGCAGCAGCTGGGCGTCAATCGCAGTCTGAACCTCCGCCTTGGCGACAGTGCCCCCCGCCCCCGCGTGCGCGCGCGCTGCAGCTTCCACGCGGTGCGCGTGTGTCCGCGGCGGCTGCGTCTACAGCGGGATGTGCTATGCGGTTGGCCCGCGGTGAGACAGGGCTCCAGCGCCCGCCGTGGCTGGCTTCCTCGCCCGCGCGTGCTATTCGCCCGACGCGCCGCGAGAGCGCTGGCCACGCCCGACCAGTGGATGGAGCCCTCTCATGCGTCTCCGTGGTGGGGGCCCTGAATCGCCAGATGGGGGCTGGGGCCTCGGGGGTAGCTGCGCGAGGGGCCCTCTCTCTATTGGTCCACTAATCCCGAGCGGACTGTGCCCAATCTTTGATCTCTCCTGGCTCGCGTCCACCCGCGGCCCCCGCCCCCCGCCCCCCCCCGCCCTTGATTTACCTTGCCTACTCGTTCCCGCTCGCGCGGCGGCGGAGCGGGTGTGCGGGGGTGGGGCGTCGGCCGAGGGGCGACGGGCAACTGCGGCCAGCGGCCCCGCTGCCGCGGCCTGGGGGGCCGAGGCCAGGTTCGCTAATTAGGCGCCGCCTGTACTTGCCGTCCTCCATGTTGCCTCCCGCAATTTCTGCCCCCTTTTCCAGCGTAGGAGCAGAAGCTGCAACAGTTGCGCAGGCGCCTTCGGCCGCCCTGGAAAACGGTGGCCGCCGCCTGCGACGCCGAGGGCCAGCCAGTGCATCTTGCTCCGCCCTGTTTCTCTGTCTCACCTTCATGCTCGCTCTTCGCGCGCAGCAGATGCGCGGCCGCCGCCGCCCGCGTTTGAGAATGGGCGGCCGCGGCCTGCGGCGCCCGCGGCCAGCCGCAGCATGCATTGCGCGCCCTCCTTTTCCCGGGCTCGCGCTACGTATCGTTTTTCCCGTGGCGGCCCATGATCTGGGGATGGCGGCTTTAGGGTTCAGTAGGTGGAGTGGGGAGCTTCCTGTGCCGTGCTGCCTTCGCCCGGGTGCCGCCTCCGCTGAAAGCGTGGACCTCCCCCGCGCCCGGTGGAATCACCGTGGGCGGCAACCTGTCCTTTGTTCGGGATGCCTGCGCTTGCTCGCGCGCGAAGTTCTCCGTCGTGGGCTCCGTGGATCCAATCTAGCCACGCAGCCGCCGCGCGCGGTCAGCAGCACCCCTTCCCTGCGTTCTCTTCGTGGTGCATGCTCCACTCTCGCCCCCTGTCTCGCGCGCGCGCATGCGGCCAGACGCGTGGTGTTTTGTTCCACCCTCCTCTGCCCAGGCTCGCGCTACCTGCCAGCTTTTCCCGCGACGGCCACCGTATGGGGAGGGCGGCTGTCGGGTTCTATCGGTGGAGGGGGAGACAACCTGCGCCGCGCCGCGTTCGCATCGGCGGCAGCCGCCATTGAAGGCGCGAGCCTCCCCGTGCCTGGTCCTTCGCGAGTGTGGTCATGCCGCCGCATGGCCTCAGGGCTTCACTCCAGCCACGCAGCCGTCGCACTCCGTCAGATTCGCCCCCTCCCTCCCTTTTTTATTTGTTTTCTAATGCGTTTCCTCCTTTTCCCCTCTCGCCTCCTTCGTCTGCTGATCTTTCCTTATTTACCCTGGTACCTACCAGCCGGCAACCTCAGGGGCGACCGCCCGTGGAGTCTCCTGGCTCACTAGTTTGATCACCTCCTCCAGGGTCGACCGGGCCTGGGGGGGATGACCGCGTCGGAATGACCCCAGGGCCGCGGGAAAGAGAAAGAGGATAAACAGGAACATGATCAAGAGGAGCAGGAGCAGGGATATAATACTTATGAGTAGGAGTAGGAATGGGAGTAGAGATGGGAGTAGAAGGAGGAGTAAGAGTAGTAGTGATATTGAGAGGAGGAGCAGGAGGATGATGATGAGGAGGAGGAAGAGTAGGAGGAGGAACAATAATAATGCTTAAAAGAACAAATATGATAATAGTAAGAAGAAGCATCGCACTACTCATCATGATAATAGTCATAGTAATATGAGTAATTAACACAATAACCATAATACGAGTACTAATGCGATCAATACTATGAATCATACCAGTAATCTTATACAGACTACGAAAAAGAACCATACTATGACTAATACACATCGGAAAACGACGAATCATACTATTTAAAAGACGAGTACGTAGCAAACAAAAAAATATTGCGAGTAATAATACTCATAATACTGAGAATACTCATATTGAAAACTAAGAAGAAGAGGGCGAGGAATAATATGTGGAGGAGGAGGAAGAGGAGGAGGAACATGACAAGGAAAAGGAGGAGGAGGAGGGGGAGGCGGAGGAGGAGGAGGAGAACGAGGACGAGGACGAGGAGGAGGAGGAAGAGGAAGGGGAGGAGGAGGAGGAGGAGGACCAGTGTAAGCCCAAGAGTCATCAACGATGTTTGAAATTATCCTCCCCCAAGCTCCCTATTCATAGGCCCCTACAACGGTTCATTTCCATGGAGGGAACTCCTTCTTTTGAAAACAACCGCTTGAAGATCTTGGAGCATACCAAAGCATTGCTCTCGGTATTGCAACGCCACGGATCAACCTGACTGCTGCGTCTTGACCATCCGGAATTATGGCAGAACGAATTTTTTGGGATGCCAACGCCGCAAATCAACATAATTGTTGCACCCGCATAATCTTGATTCCTTCCGAACCACCATTTCTGGTACGTTGATCGTCGGAATCCGTGAAACTCTTGATGCGCATGTTAAAACGAATGTGCGCGGCGCTAAGGCGATAACCACATTTTGAAAAAGGGCCCGCACTTAATCCGTGGAGCTCTTGCAAATTTCCATAGGAATGTGCCCAGCGCTAATGCCGGAGCCACATTGTGAAAACCATCCGCCCTCAATCGGTGAAACTCTTGCAATTTTTAAAAACGACTGTGCGCGGCGGCGCTAAGGCGAGAGCCACATTTTGAGAACGACCCGCCCTCAATCAGTGGAACTCTTGCACATTTTTAAAACGAATTTGCGCCGCGCTAAGGCGAGAACCACATTTTGAAAACGACCCGCCCTCAATCCGTGAAGCTCTTGCAAATGTTGAAAACGAATGTGCGCGGCGCTGAGGCGAAAGGCACATGTTGAAAACGACCCGCCCTCAGTCCGTGAAGCTCTTGCCATGTTTGCAGAGCTTCAAAGTCATAAATGGTGAGGAAGTCTCAAGCGAAACGCCCGGCCCGCACTGAAAACAGGACTCGGGGTGCGACAGGGAAAAGTTATGTTTATGGAAAAGAAATGGAGAAGGAGGAGGAACAGGAGAAGGATGAGGAGCAGGAGCAGGAACAGGAGGAGGAGGAGGAAGAAGAGGAGGAGGAGGAGGAGGAGGAGCAGGATGAGGATGAGAAGGATAATGAGGATGAGGATGATGCTGCTGATGACGCTGCTGCTGCTGCTGCTGCTGATGATGATGATGATGATGATGATGGTGATGATGATGATGAAGATGATGATGATGACGATGACGATGGCGATGCTGATGCTGATGATGATGATGATCATGGTGATGATGATGATGATGATGATGATGA